GAAAAAAAAAAACTTTATCACTATTCTGATTCATCAGATTTGACTTTGCTTATTGTCCAGCTCCCCAAATATAAGGCAAGTTCTAAAGAAGATAAAGGCTCTATCAGTGTATTTTTATCTGTTCTGTCTCTTACACACCTCATGTAACAGTGCCGCCCATAGTAGGTATACTGGTGGTGTAGTGTGTTACATGTTGTGATGTTAGCACACAGAGATGCTACTAGTCAATGGTTCAAATCCACCAGCTGTTCTATGGAGTCTCTTCCCCCATAGACTCCAGGGATAAGAGAGACCCTGGACGATGTGGTCATGGGTGTCCGAGAGACCCTCAGCATTAGCTTCTATTAAGGTCATGATTAATGTTGCTTCTCTTAATGCCATGATTTAATTTCCTGCTGTAATTTTCCATTTCAGTTGTAACTGCTCAACCTCCCTGCCTCCCTGCCAACTGGAGGAGTATTTAAGGAAATCCTTTTAAAATTCTAATCAATCCAAGATGAAATTAGAAAATAGAGTTTTAAATACTTTGGGGTTCACTGCTTAATTTCTCCCTCTGATGGGGGACAGGGTGTCGAGCACAGTTTATAAATTTACAACAATACCTGAGTTTAGAACAAGAGTGACTCAATGGCCGTGTAAGGTCCCCTAACCTGATTATCTAGTTTAAGATTGTTATTCCAGGAATTAAGGGTTCACAATCAAGTCACCTGGCATAAAAATCGGATTCTATGATACTCAACAATAGCAACATACTGAAAGGCTACCTGGGAGCTGGGCAACATTCTACACTGACCGCATCTTTGGGGAGACATTCCAATCAGTCTGGTGTAAGATGGCTATAGCCAATCAGAAGAGAGCATGACCACCAGCCACATCCTGCCTGTCAGCTATGACACAACCCACCTAAGGGTCCTGAGTAGCTCCTTACATGGGAACGGGTAGAGGGCATCCAATCAGTGTCCTCCACAGAATGCTGACCACCAAACAGACCAACTTAACTCCAATTCCCTGCATACAGAACTTTACCTGTAGCTTCCCTACGTGGGCTTTACTGCATTACTCTGCCTTTCTCAGGCCTAAGACAGCAAACCTGCCCAAGAGCTGGTAAGAAACTCCTTTGTTTCACTTCATCGGGTTCTCCTTTCTATTTTTACCTTACACATACCTGTAAAGGAGCTCTGATCTAGTGGTGAGGAATTGTGCTGCCAACACAAAGGTACAAGGTTTGAATCTACCAACTGCCCTGAAGGAGAAAGATGTGAAATCTCTTCCCATGGGATTTATTGCCTCTGAAAACCTGCTGGAGGGTCAGCTATGAGTTGATGCTGACACGGCACATCACAACCACAACATACCTGTAAAGTCTCGTTTAGGGCAGGGGGATGCATGACCTCTCACGTGCCTCAGACTCGATGTTCTCAAGTGCATTTAGAGCCGTGTTTTGTCTGAGACCCAGGCCTAGGAGACATACATGAAGGGCTGAGAACATTAACCCCATTTGTCAGATGAGGTGACTGAGGCTCAGAAGGCGTGAACTATTAGAACAGAGCTGGAATGATGAAACGACCCCAGGGAAAGGGGGCAGAGGAGAGAGCTTTGCAGCAAACCATAGACACACAGAGTCTTACTGCAGCAGGGTCAGCTGGGGGAGCTGGAGGGACCAGTGCAGAAGGCTCTCCAGGCTCTGGTCGCTCAGGACCTCACAGGACAACCTGTGGACACAAGCATCTTTATGAGGAAGGGGGAAGGTGGAGCAGGGCCTCACACCTGCAGAGACGGGGCCCTAAGCTAATGCCATCCCAAAGCTTTCCTCTGAGCCCTGGATCTCTGAGCCATCACTGCAGGGCTGGGGGAGAACAAAGCCTTATGACTTTGCACACGTCTGTGTTAGATCAAATTCACTTGTTCTCGTTGTTGTAGGACTTCCAAGCGCCTTCAACATGCTGCTGTGCCTTGTGAATTTCCAAGAGCTTATGATATAGATTCTTTTCCAAACCAAACTGAGAAGCAGAATCATTATTGCTAAGCAAAAAGAGGCTTTTTAAGAAAAGAAGGCTGCCTTCATCCAGAGTACAAAGAAGCATGAGAGCAGAAATTCAGACATGTAAGAGACCCCGAAAGGAGACACGGGGGGCAAACCTCCTTCAGAGGTGACCCATAGCCTCAGAAAACCTGCTGGGGGGTCAGGTGTAAGCTGGTTTCAGGCCCCTGATACTACACCACCACCACCACCACCACCACCACCACCACAACCACCACCACCACCACAACAACAACAACAGATAAACAGCCAGCTAGCTAGCTACAGCCACTCCCCATGTGATTTCCTCCCAGAACCCTAACACCACGGCCTCTGGCTGGGCAAAAAGAAGAGTTAAAAGACTTAAAAAAAATAATAATTTTTTTCTTTTTTCCTTGAGTAATAGAATTTTTGTTTATCCACAGCAAAATTACATTCCAGAGACAGGGAAAGGCTTAGCTGGCCTCCAGCCAGGAAACCCTTCCCAGGTCACTTTGTCCTTTATGCCGGAGTCTTCTACTTACTCCACTTCCAGAGGCCCCGGGCACTTCTCCAGGGCGCCACAGAGACGGGTGAGGGTCGGAGGCTCCAGCTGACATTCCTTGAGGCTGACAAGGGACAGGAGGCAACGTGGGGATCAGAGAGGGATCCCAAGGCACCCTCCTCCCGCCAGCTCGCTTCCTTAACCTGCAGGCGGGCAGGTCATGGCTCCTTCCCAGCAGCCACCAGTCCCACGCTGACAGCACCATAAAGACCCAGGGGCGCCTAACTGACCAACCTGGTCCAGTGACCAGGTCCTCCCCACATCCCCTTGCTTGCATCCAGACCACCAGCATCACTCACCTAGACTACTAGAATACCCCACAGATTCCATGTTTGCCTCCTGCAAATATCCAGCTCTACTTTGCACCTTGTCATTTTTCAGCTGTGCAGACCTGGCCATGAACTTCTGCATCACATTCTCGGTCACTCCCACTATCCTTACTCTTCAGGGCCTGATATTGCCCCATGGCCTCACTTTGTGGGGTGGCAGGGGGAGGGCCTCCATGATCCTTGCTCCAGCCTCACAGAGATGTTTCTACTCCCCTGGACCTGTGTAAATGCCCTCTTCCTGTCTGGAGCACTTTTCTCCCCTCTTCTGGACGATCCTATGCAGGTCTCAGAGTAAGAGTCTCTCTTTTTATGAGGAGATAAGATTGAGGCCCAGAGATGGAAGAACCCAGCTAGTGTCTAACTATCCTTAACTCCCAGATTAGGCAGCATGCTTTCTCTCTACAGTATCTGGAGGGTGGGGGTAGCGTATTTGGAAAGGGAAGACAGTCCACTTAAAGAAAACGTCTATCCCTCAACGTGGATGTTGGATACAAGCTGGGACTGCAATGGCGGCTTCCAAGAAATATAGAATCTTGCTTCTGCTGTCGGGGTCTAGGCCAGTTCATCTGCCCTACAGCCCCCTAATCCATCTCTTCCCCATTTCACCTTCTCTCAAAACTTAACTCTCAGGCCCCTGGCTCTTCTTGACCCCTCATATTTAAAGATAGAGCCAAATTCTGACTAACCACTAAGGTGGTTTACCCCCAAAGAAGTAGTTGAGACCGTACCAAAAACTCTTGGGGATGCAGCACTGACTGAACCCTAAAACCTGGGCTCCAGCTGGGCAGTCCGGCAAAGCTCCACCAGCCAATGCATCCCTAGGAATGGAGAAACCATTATGAAAGTTCAAATCCACACTGGAATCTTAAGACTCCAAACCCTAGTCAGGAATGAAAGAACTCCTAGAGGCAATGATGGCTGTAGTGGCCCCTGGTTTAACCCTTAACATACAGGAGAAAAGTAGTCAAAGCCAAAGAAGCCAGCCGCTCACACCTGGACAGATGGGCCGGCATCTGACCAGGTATATGAGGGCGAGGTCAGGACAGACTGCACCCAGTCATGGATGACTCCCTGCTCCCTGTAATTTCATTCCTTTGACTTTAAGAACCCATAGGGCCCTGCAAAACAGAGATCCCAGCTCAGGAAATAAGACCCCTCTGGCTGTGGGCCAGTCTTGGCTTCAGGGAGCCCACCTGGTACAGCAGGGTGATCAATCCCCATGTTTCATCCCTGACACTCAAACCCACCAAGCCCACTGTCACTGTCACTGAGTCTAACTTACAGTGACCCTGCAGGAAGGTAGAAGGGTCTTAAGACGGTAAATCTTTATGGGAGCAGACAGCCTCATCTCTTCCCTGCAGAGTGGGCTGGTGAGTTTAAGCAGTGTCCAAGTGCTTTACCTGAGAACCACCAGAAAATCTTCATCCCTGACACACTAGCTGTGAATACAGTCTATTCAACGGGCCTAACATTAGGATACTGTGCTTATCAACGTGCTCAAGTGAGACTAGGATGCCCAGCTCCAGTAGGGGGCAGCCAGGAGCATCCCTGAAGAGCTGAAACAAATGTTCTGTTGTTTTTTGCAAAGATGTGAAAACTGTTTTTAGAAATCAGCAGTTCTTTGCTTAAGTAATGTACCCAGACAGTGAGGGCAGTGACTCATACGAGTCTGCAAAAGTTCTGGGGAGGCCAAGATACTACTGTTCCCTTCTGCCTTCCCTCATAGCTGCAATCAGCAAGCAACACCACCATTCCTTCCTCTCCCTCCCTTCTTCCCTCCGTTCCTCCCTCCATCCCTCTTATCTTCTCTGCCTTATTCCAAGAAAGATTCCAGGCAGGTGGTTACTGGAAATGTACATGGAGGGTGTTACAGAAGGGGTGATTACTTGCATTGTGCCAGATCTAACTCAAGAGCTCACAGTAGAAATGGAGGTGGTGGTGGGGCGGGGTGGGGAGAGGGAGGAGCCCACCCTCCAGAGAACCCCCTCCTCACCTGTGCCTTCTGGTCCCTCTCAGGAGGAAGCTCTGGCTCTTTAAGCTGGAAACAGAGAGGAAGCGACAGTCTGAGAAGGGGCAAATAACTTCCCAGCCTGACTTGCTCAAGGAAGACATGAAGGGATCCCATTTTCTTAGCAAATATGACAACAAATATATGAACTCTTTAATGACCATGTAACATATAATTCCCACCTATATTGCTAATCTTGGGGGTTTAGTGGGAAGCGGTTATCCCGCTTTTAACATGTGCTGTTATTGTGCCTTTGTGGATGTGACTGCATAAATCTGAAGGACTGGGCTTAGTCTCACATACAGTGCCAGGAACTCTTTGGACCATATGTTGTGGTTGTTAAGCATCACAGAGTAAACTTTGACTCATTTCAACCCTGTGAACAGCAGGTTTGAACCTTCTTTTTGTATTATTATTAATTTTAATAGACATTTACAGAGGTTTTGGATTTCCATTCATTCATTGTCGCACTTTTCTCCCTGCCCACCCCTCCCTACCACCTCGCTTCCCCCTCCGAAGAGAAAAAAAAAATTCCTTCATTAGTATACAATTCCCACGTCTCTTCTCCCCCACCCCCCACCCCAAGTACCCTTCTCTATCCAACCTTAATTCTGGATTCCTGTGTTAACCATAATACTCAATCATATATCACTTCTAATCTGTTCTTTCCCTCATCTGTTTCAATACAATATACATAATTTATCCAGTTTTTTCTGTCATACCCCCACCCTGATGTCAGACCCATTCTACAACAGTGGCACCATGCAGTATTTGTCCCTTTGTGACTGAGATATTTCACTCAGCATAATGTCCTCCAGGGTCACCCCCTTTGAATAATATTGCATGAGTTCCTTGTTTTTCAATGCTGCATAGTATTCCATTGTGTGGATATACCACAGCTTCTCTATCCATTCGTTTGTTGATGGGTCCTTAGGCTGCTTCCATCTCTTTGCTATTGTGAACATGGGTGTGCATATATCTGCTTGGATGGCAGACATGGTCTCTCTGGGGTATATTCCCAGTAATGGGATTGCTGGGTCAAATGGTTTCTCTATTTGCAATTTTTTAAGAAAGCGCCACACCGCCTTCCACAATGAGGTTTGAACCTTTTTCTATACTGTATGACCCCACGGTTGCTGACACGCTCCAGCCTGTGGGAAGCCAAATTTCATACTAAATATTTATAATAAACCAAATGCTGCATCAGGATATGAGGGAGGCACGAATACAAGCTGGAATCCACCCTGAAGCACTAAGGCAGACTTTAGGTGTTTACAGGGGTAGGCACTAAGGCAAAGCTTAAACATTTATACAATTCTTGTATTGTATTTGCTAACCCCTCCCTCCTGAGTCAAGCATAAGGTTTTCAGTAGAAAGAGCTTAGCTTCATTTGCATAGAATTCTCTTTGTGATTTGCTCCCTGGCAATCTTCAATAAAGGCACAGGGAAGCTGGGTTTGGAGCTTCAGTTGTTAGAACTTCTCACCCCCTGCTTTACCTCTCTGTTTTATTATACATTCTTAGTGTTCTGTCTCATTTTTTATTCTTTACCCTCGGTTGACAACACCAGGCCATGCTACAGTCACTGTGCCAAATCCATCTTGCTGAGAGTCTTCCTCTCTTTTGCTGACCTTCGACCTTTCCCAGCATGATATCTTCTTCCAAGGACTGGCCCATCCTCATACTATGCCTAAAGTAAGTGAGATGAAGTGTCACCATCCTTGACTCTCAAGAGCACCTCAGTTGAACTTCCTCTAAGACAAGACTTGTTTGTTCTTTTGACAGCTCATGAGATAGTCAGCAATCTTCAACACCACAATTCAAAGGCATTGGTTCTTCTATCACTCTTACTCACTGTTCAGCTTTCAGAGGTGTGGGAAGTAAGTGAAAATACTCTGGCTTGAATCAGGCACACTTTAGTCTTTAAATTGGAATTCTTACTCTTTAGCATTTTGGAGAAGTCCCTGACAGCAGACTTTCTCAATGCAACATGACTTCTGTTTTGTTTTTTTTAATTGCTGAGAGCAATGGTGTCTCTCTGGAGACTAAGGTGCATCTGATACAGGCCAGGGTCTTTTGTTACGTGTCAGAGAGTTGGACAATGACTAAGGAGGATAGAGGAGA